GAATAGGCCTCTGAGTTTTGTTTGTGAGTGCGAGGCGCCAGAAGCATGCCGTGGATTAGTACAGGGCGCTCTGAGATTAGAGCGGGGGCAGATCTGGCAGCTTCTGAGCTGCGTGGCGCCAGACAGGTCGTGCGCAGACAGGTTCAACTGTTTGCAAGACTTGCCGCTCAAAGGCAAGGAGTTTGAGTGCTTACTGAGGCCGTACGCTGCCTCCTGCTCAGGCATTAGTCAACACTGACTGAGAGACCTGCCGTGAATGAATGAATGAATGTATGTATGTATGTATGTATGTATGTATGTATGTACGTATGTACGTATGTATGTATGATTATGTATGTACGTATGTATGTAGAAATGTATGTATGTATGTATGTGTTTGTGTATGTATGTTGTATGTTTGTGTGTGTGTGTATGTATGTATGTATGTACGTATGTATGTACGTATGTATGTATGTATGTATGTATGTATGTATGTATGTATGTCTGCACATGTCGGTATGCTTGCGTGTGCGCGCTAGATTGTTTACATGTCTATCTGCCTACCTGTTGTGTCAACTCTTGTTCGTCTTGTCTTGCTATCTAGATATAGATCTGCATCTATACCTATATCTAGATCTGCACCTATATCTATGCCCATCTTTCGATCGATCGACGGACCTATCTATTTGCCCATTCAAAGAATGAGCGACTGGTTTATGTATTAGATATTCATCTACTCTATGTGTATCTATGTCTGTGCGCTGACTGTTCATGTGTTCATGCATTGCTACATGAAAGCGTGCATAGTTGCATGTTTTCGTGCATACTCATTCATATATACAAATCTTTACATGCATACTCATACAAGTATACTGTGCTCTATAGAGACTCGTTTCCCAAGTGACTGCTCACCGAGGTTCCAACTTCCTCAGGCGGCCTGCCGAGTAATCTCAAGGGCTCTTTTGGGCTTGCGGCTAGGGCAAAGGACCTCAATGAAGGTAGATTATAAAATCTCAAGCACGACTTGGCCCTAAACCTGAAAGGCCAAACCCAGGGGGCTCCTGAAACCAACCCTATCTAACCCACACCCTATTTAGGGGCTCCTGCAACTCACCCACACCTCCCAAAGCTGGCCTTTAGTGCTCTCATCTCCAAGGGCCCCATAAGTTAGGGTGCGTCGAGCCTGGCGTTAGGGTTCTTTTTTTGAACGCCTGTTTCCGTCTGATGGAGCATCCCTCATTCAGAATCCGCCTGAGCGGAAGGCTTCCCTCTAGCCCTTCAGTTCTTTTTGTCCCCGATCTGTTCATGCTGTTCCGCTTGCTCTGTTTCTTCCTCCACGATCCCCCACTTGACTTGACAGCGAGCTGTTTTGCATCAGAGTCCCCAAGTCATTGCCTGCACCCTAATTGACCAGACCCTCCATCCACCTGAGGGTTTTGCGTTCAGGGCTCAGGTTTGGGGTCTAGGTGTAGGGTTCAGGGTGCCAGCCTGGACCCTCGAAACATAAAACTAGCCCAACGGGCAAACAAAAACAAACGGCTTCGCGAAGCCATCATCATCCCCGCCATGCCAATCACAATCACATCTAAGGACTCCCGGGCCCGAAAGCCCCAAACCCGACTCTGCTCAGTTAAACGAAAAGGCTAAGTCCCTAGCCCAAAAGCACGAAGCCTCCCTAAGCCCCCAGAAACCTAAATCGCAAAGAGCCCTGGAGCTTGGCCTCTCGATTCCAGCTTCCTTTGCAAAGTTGCAAGCGTTTGGGGTTGAGCTTTAGGCCAGACTCGGCTAGACCGCCAGACCCCAGTTGCTCAGCTTGCTGGCCCCAAAATGTAGCTGAGCTGAAAGCAGGGGACATCAACCTCACCTCCAAATGCAGTTAATATGCAAGAACCACTAGAAACCCATTGCAAGCGAGCGCGAGATCTTCGAGATCTTGTCAAACATGTCGAGGGCCTACTGTGCTTTCCGGCGGCCTGAGTTTGGGGATGCGGCTCCGAACCCCCGAAACCTGAAGGTCTTTGGGAGCGTGCCTTGCGGTCTGTGTGGGTGTGTGCTATGATGGGGGGAAGGGGGGGTGGGTCGGGGAACCAAGAACCGGGATCATACATGTACATTGTACATGTATGTGTGTGTGTGTATATATATATATATGTATGGATGGAGAGACAAAACATCCCTACCACTCAGACCTTTTCTGAGGCAGGCGACTTCTCGGCAAGGTTAGAGCCGTGAAGCCCACCAAACGTGGTCTCCATCAACGCTGACATTCTGAAACCCTGAATTTGTCGTTTCGAAAAGTGCACCTCCCCAAAGCCCGAGAATCCCACATCGGACAAGAAACTGATGAGAAACTTCATCTTTAGCTCTGAGGTCTTGTGGCCTAGATTCGAGATCCCATACAACCAGAAGCTTGCAAGATAGGGCTCTATCTATGTAGCGCACATTGCATCACACCATAAAGAAAGACCTTCATCGCAAGAACCCTCAAACAATGTGGCCCTGAAAATGAAGAACCCTCGAAGGCCTTCACCGCGTTGCGGTAGACCCGGGGCATCGATTCCAACGTGCTGAACCTTACAGAAACACACAGCACCAAGAAACAACAGAAGCCCAAATACAAAGAGGTCCCAACTCCAAACTCTCAACGCTCAGGGTTTGGGATTTCGGTGCTTGAAGCGTCACAGTGTAGGGAGCGGCTTTTGAGTGTGGATTTTGCTATGGCGCCATGTCACTACTCGAATGTTGGGTCTTGAGAGTCTTGAGTGTCAGACGGTGGAGGACTTCGACTTTGGAGTTTCGGGCTTTGGGGCGGAGAGCTTGGAGCTGGGGGCTATCGGCTTCGGTGCTTCTTGGATTTTATGCTAGGGTCTTTAAGAAGTAGTTTAGCTACGGGGATTTGGGGCGAGGACATGGACGGACCTGAAAGCCTGGGAATCCTTGCAGAAACCTTCACCGCATCGAGTCGCGTAAGGATCCCAGGGTCTTGAGGCTCCTTCATTCACAGGCTCCGAAACCGAAACTACAGTTTCATGGGAGAGTCCCTGGAGCCTCTTCACTCTGTCGAAGAGGTTGCTGATGGCATGGTGGATAGTACACAGGTCCTGCGAGATCACTGGAAGGTGCCGGGCTGAGGACTCTTTCGAAGTGCGCTTAACGCATGAGCACGGGGTTTGCTCTTCACTCTGCATGCAAACCCCAAGCCCCCTAAACTATACCACAAATTCAAAGCAAAACAGCCCAATCTGTACAGGCCCGAAAGCCCTACAGGTAGAGCCCGCGGCACCCCAGGAAATCAGTCCTCGAAGTCTGTGACTTGACACTTGCCGGAGCGGCCCACGTACTGGCGCACCTCTCTTCACGGTCTCCGCTAAGAGGCAAAGGTCGAACGAGGCTCGGATCCCAGAGCGACAAAGCGTTTTAAGAAAGAAAGCTCTCAAGCTCAGGCTCAGGGCCCCTCCCGGGGCCGCCTGCTCCAAAAGGCTCGCAGCTGCTTTGGCCTCCGCTCGAAGTGGCCACTCCAGGGTTTCGGGTGTCCAAAACCCAGGCTTCGGGTTGGCGACAGCTCGGAAGCTCTGGGCCAAGACTCGAAACTCGAAAGCCTTCCAACCCAAAGCTCCCAGCTGGGCCTCGCGGTCGAACACCCTGGGCACCGAGGCTTCGGATCAACAGGTGCAAGGGTGAGGGCCTCTGTCCAATCTGCAGTTTGCTGTGGGTTCTGCGATTGCTTTGTTTGGCCCTGCTGCTCGTGTTTCGGTTTCGGGCTTGCGCTAGCCTCACCTGGCGCTCGGTGAGGTATAAGTCCAATATAGAATCTTGTGGGGCGACCTTGTATTCCTGAAAAAGAAGACCCTAAACCAGGCTGAAGGGTGTGGAACCCCTTGAACTCCCACTGATAGACACACGAGCAAGATGATACGACGAGAAAAATGTCTCTCTCGAGTTCACGGGCAGTTGCTCAAGAAGCGCTTTGGCAGCTGAACAGTCAGTGCGGACACAATGCAGCAAAGGGTAAGGAAGCACAAGAAGGCACAGAGGGCAGAACCCGTCAAAGGCAAGCCAAAAAAACTAGTACCGACACCATCCCACGCTCGCCATTGATCCGAGCTTCGTGTTTCGGTACCGACGACGGGCTTCTTCCGTTTCGCTGCCTCTGGGACCGCTTCAGCAGAAATAGTTCTCTGCACTAGCACTGCCTACCAGTGGCTTCAGACTGCAATGCAGAAATCGCAATCTCAAGCCATTGTCACCGAGCTCGGGAACACAAACCCTGCGGAAGAAAACAACCTCCCTTCGCTACCCACAGTCCCATTCCCATTCCCGTCACAAGGTCCCCGCCCATGGATGCCACGGCTCCGCTCGCAAGTGCAGTTAGTCTCCATGCCGAAATGCTGCGGATGCCTATAGTAAGGACTAGACCAAAGAGGACTCCCTGTGCGATTCTCAAATCTAGGCTTTGAGGATTGATCATCAGCAGCACATCACTTCCGCAATCAAACCAGGACAAGCTGTTTTCACTCTTCTGTTCGCAGGTTTCCGTGCCGCGTCCTGGCCGAATCCCACCCTTGCCCTTCACTGGTCACTGCGTGAGAAACCGAACTTGATTTCCTTGGCTGTCCAAAGGCCAAGGCCAGAGGCACTGTCATCTCAACGAGACATTATGACATCTTGCAAAGTCTCGTTCCCTTCAGCCACATCCAGTCGTTCCTTGCTCCATTGGCTCGGCTGATCTGCATCTGCATGCTCGCCTGCGGCGAACGCGAAAGCAAAGGTGAAAGCAGGGAGAGGGGAAAACTACGGGAAAAGTGCGCAGAGTGTGGGCATCCAAGGGACTGCTGGCCCTGGTTGCGTTTGGCTCAGGCTCTCGTCTGCCACCCCTGCGAAGAGACAGGGAAGCAGAAAACTTAACTTAGCGGTGGAGCTGAGGCGACGGCCGGAACCAGGAGGCAGCTTCTGCTTCTTCGGTCGCCGCTGCCTCTGTTGCCTCCGGTCCATGTGCCGTCTTCCCAACAGCCCGTGCTCTTGCAGGCTCCTCCGTGCTCGTTGTCGGCTGTGCCGTGGTGGTGGTGGTCCGCCGAGGACGTGAGGGTGTGGACACAATCCGCTGTGAAGTTCTGGTGCTCGTCTTCACAGCTGCCGGAGCCTGGCTTGTCGTGTCGGTAGATCCAGAACCACCAGGTCCAATTTCAACAATTTCCTCTGGCTCTGTCGACAAATGGTACTCCGTTGTGGTCACGGCACCACTCTCTTGAGCCCCTGCCGGAATTGACTGCTCAGGCTTTTTGCCGGGCTGCTGCTGTTTTGTATTGGTTGTTTTGGTAGTAGATGGGGCACCACCCCGTCGGCTTTCTGATGATGTCATCGTCGTCGTGGTGGTGCCGGCACCGGACTGCAGAGTCTGCTCTGACGTGGTCTCAGCACCTTCTGCAGCCTGGCTATCTGACTGTGGCCCCTGCGTTTCGCCAGGCGCTACAGTGGTAGTGGTGGTGCCAGCGCCGGACTGCCGAGTCTGCTCTGACATGGTCTCAGCATTCTCTGTAGTCTGGCTTCCTGACTGCAGCCGCTGCGTTTCGTCAGACGATACAGTGGTAGTGGTGGTGCCTGCGCCGGACTGCCGAGTCTGCTCTGATATGGTCTCAGCATTCTCTGTAGTCTGGCTTCCTGACTGTAGCCGCTGCGCTTCGTCAGACGATACAGTGGTA